CCCCAGCACGCTCCCTGTGCAAGCAGGTGGTCACGTTGGTTATGTTGATGGAAGTTAGCCTATTTTCAGATGCTGCGTAATATCATTGCGCCTGCTGCACCCATGGTACGGCAGCAAAGTTCCTTGATCGCAACTTTTCATTTTCCATCGGTCTTAGTACACGATGTAACTACAAAAGAGTCAGGTTTTAAATAGGAAAAATATATAAACTCTTTGGTCATTTTTGAGCGAGATGCTAACGGTCTAATCAGATTCAATGATCTATGCTAAGCTAAGCTAAAAGTGCTACCGCCAGACCCGGAGATCGGCTGAATGGTTTCGAAAACGGTAAAACTCAACTGTTTAACTCTAGGGGAGCCTATTTTCAAAAATAGTGGAGTGTTCCTTTAACATACGAACTTTGTGATCCAACCATCCATCATATAAAAATTAGGATAACTTCGGTGATGGAAGAAAACACCACACTTCTCTTACCTTCCTGGAGTATTCATCCACTGCTCCAAAACTGACTATGTTGTACCTATTAAGTAAAGCTTTTAGCACAAAATGAGCATTTTGCAAATGGATTTCTACTAATATAGTGCAAGGAGACATGGGTTTATAAGAAATACTCATAGGAGTACATGACAATGGAAAATGACAAAACTTTATTAACTTGTGATTAGTATCCACATGCCAGAGAGACAGAGGCCCTCTCACAGAATATGTGCAGCGTACCACACACCAATACCAATCTGTACATTCTGGATAGGACTCCTGTCAAATCCACTTTGTGCACTGAAGCAGCTACTCTTCTCCACTGAATGTGAATCACCATGGATTGAAGCCTACTTTTGACCATTCGGTCAATCCAGCAGAGGAAATGTCTTTTTTAATCTGGGCAACCAATCAATTGAGGTCTTGATCACTGAGGTCTTGATCTATTGAGGTCTTGATCAATGTTACTGTACGTTTTCGTGGAAAACCCAAACTCTTTAATTTGTTTGGGACAGTGACATGAAATGCCCAGAGGTTTTGCAATGTAGCATACAGAAAATTCCATGAAATCAAGATCAACTGGTGTTCTTATGAGAGCTTTTCTGTTTTTCTTTTTTTCTATTAAATTAGCCTGATAATGTACTGAATAAAACGACACAATTTGTTCCTGAACTTGTTTTTAAAAGGGACTACACCTAGATTGTATATGACGATTCTTGCTGTTATTTTGCACAATTAAAGTTATTTGTTATGTTTCTTCTGCAATCATCCTCAGTTGGGGATTTAGATCTAGGTATTATAATGTTCTTTTTTCTGTTTGGTTGGGGGCGGGGGACAGTTTGCAGCATTGTATATCTGTGGTTTCTGTTGTATCTTTTACCCAATTGTATATAGAATGCTGCAGCAAACAAATTCGTAAGAGGAAAAATGCAAACAATAAACCAACTCTATAGCAGATTGTAAGTTATGAAGGGCTTAGGACGTTCCAGTTCAGTCCATTGCAAGAGTTCAGCCAGTAGTGGGCACTCATGCAACGTAATCAATTACGTACATCTGAGTAAACGAGACGGAGGGAAGTTTGCGAGTGAAGGGCATAAAAAATAGACTGGAACGCAGGCAAGGTTTGATGGTGTTGGAATTGCGATCATGTTCTTCCGGCTTTGAAGCAGGGCTTGAAAACGAAAAAAGAAATTTCAATCGGTTCACTCCGAGCAGAATCTATATTTTAACGTTTCTGTTTCTGCGTTCCTCTGTATTATTATCGTTCTGAAACCGGTTTGAGTAGACAAAATACCGATTAATTACGTTATTTTTAAAACTTTTTATTTGCCTATAATAATAATAATAATAATAATATTAAAAAACAGCATTTTCTTTACTCAAAAAGAAAAAACCGAAAGAGATCTTAGTCACAGCCAATACTAAACAAAAGAAAAAAATCTGTTAACACTTTAAAGACATTAAAGTATTTAAGATATTTCATGTTTGCTGCATTGTTAAAAAAAAACGCTACTCGTATAAAATTGCGTTTTGAGAGGGGAAAAAAACAAGTCGCGTAGGCTCAAGTTGCATTTTATTATTACATTCAGAAATAATGTAGGCTAAAATGCTGGTAAAGCAAAATGTTTACAAACATTATAAACACATATCTATGAACACAGTTTTCTTCTTTCCACTTTAGGCTATAAAAATGTCAATCCAAAAACAAATGAATTTAAGGTGAAACTGATGCCTACCTTTCACATTCGGCACAAATCCAAATGTTTCCATATTTGCAACATCTGGATGCTAAAATATTTATTATAGGCTTTGTACTTCACTCGAATCGACGTAAAATATCATCCTTCACATCAGCTATATCAGCACAGTGAGGCCCTGGTCACGCTGAACGCAATAGATTCTACAACTGAGCAGTGTAACTTATGTTTTTTTTTAACTGTATTTTATTTTGATAATGAACAGGCACACTGCCACTGGGACTGATGAAGTTGAGAAAGTTTGAACAGTTATCAAATGACTTAAATTAATGATATTTGCTCAGGTGGATGCTGGGGTCTTATCTATCGGATTGCAACGTATATCCATTTGTTAATTAACATTACACATAGTGCGCATCTAATTAGAGTTAAGCTAGTGGGCGTGGTAGCCAAGGCTCACATAGTCATATGTCAAATCTTGTGGGAGCGGGTGATTTTACCTTTTCCATGGGCGGGAGTTGGTGCTCAAATCCCGCGATTTGGTGCATAACAAGAATAATGGAGTTGCATAAACACTAGGCTGCGGAAGTTGGTATTACACGGTGTTTGCTCGTACACGATTACATAACTTGCTGCACCACCCCCACTGTCATTTTGCTTTTTATAGAAATGAAAATTATTTAATTCAGTTATAAAACTTATAGACATAAAATTAGTGAATGTTACAAAAAAACAGAATACGGACTTCCTCCAAACGTCCACCATCCTGTTTGTAGGGTGAATGTATAAGGATAGTGTCAATTTAAAAAGAAAAAAAAAGCGTGTCAAGCATTAAAAAATGTAAAAACCACTGGCCTAGGATTTTATTTTGTCAACGTATAGCATATAGCCAAATAGTTGATCAGTGATACACTCTCTCGCCAACAAAGGTGTTGCCTCCCTCTTTCATTTCATTAACATCTGGTGTTCTAGTCTCCTATGGATATGAAAAATTAAAACATGCTGTCTCTTGACATTTTTTAAATATATTTTTATAAGAATAATTCATAAGGTATACACTCTCTCAAAACATTACGCTGCTCACAAATAAGCAGTAAGTACCAATCAATGAGAGCAATTTTGAAAGCTGATTGGTCAAATATATGTTGAGGACCAATACATAACCTCCAAATATATCGACATAAACCCATGCTCGCTCTGTCTCGTATATGCTCATGATCTAATGCACTTATTAATGCTGGATCTTTAAAAACGAATACCAAAATCTGACATTTTCCAGAACAGGATCTGGCTCAATTTAAGCACTGCTATTATCAACAAGATTTGTTAATGCCATTATGAATAGCTATGGAACAGTTTATGGACTGTATGTGATTTAGTAGGTTTTTGAATAAGAATGATTTTTTCCAGAATATCTAGATCAATCAAAAGACAGACTTGGATGCATGTTGGTTGTGCCCAAAAAAAAATAGTTATTGCAATGTTACATTTGTTGCAATTTTGCACTTTGACTTTTGACAAATATTGTGTGTAATAAAACAATAGTCACTGACATCACTGCTTTTATCCAAGATTTGTTAATGCCATTATGAATAGCTATGGAACAGTTTATGGACTGTATGTGATTTAGTAGGTTTTTGAATAAGAATGATTTTTTCCAGAATATCTAGATCAATCAAAAGACAGACTTGGATGCATGTTGGTTGTGCCCAAAAAAAAATAGTTATTGCAATGTTACATTTGTTGCAATTTTGCACTTTGACTTTTGACAAATATTGTGTGTAATAAAACAATAGTCACTGACATCATAATTGTATTGTATCGTTTTGTTTTAAATACCAAATATTTTACTTAAAACATTTCTCATTAGTGCTTATTCAGTTATTTGTAATATACATTAGTGTGGAAAAAAAAGTTTCAATGTCGCTAGCTACTTTTTGGTAGTAACTTGTAGTGTAACTAGTTACTTTTTCAGAAGGGTAGCTTGATTGTAGCTTAACTATTTTAATTTATGAGTAGCTTGTAGCTTGATAAGCTACAGTTTCAAGGTAGATTCCCCAACACTGGCGATTTATTAATTTCAAAGTATTATCCTGAATCAAATTTATCATATGCCATCTACCATAACTGCTCAATAATTTGAGACTACAGCAAAGAAGATGGACTGTGTGGCCACATGCATTCATACGAACATGACAAAAGAAAAGAAAAACCTTCAAGACAAAGTAAAAAGAGGTGGAGGATGGGGGATACTTTTAGGAACCTGGAGTATCTGCATTTGGGGCACATTCATAGCTTTGATTTCACACAGATACTTAATTGTCCGATCGCTGAGCCATTTAAAACTCTTTCCTCAAAAAGAACAAGAATAGGGTCTCTCATATGCATGACTTTCCATATGCATCAGAAAAAGAATTTTATTGTGATACATGTGCAGGTGATTTTTTTTTGTAAACCTCTTTTCACGTTCAAAACGTCTGTAATTTCTGTCCAGAATGAGTTTGCCAATGGGTTTTCATGTCTATGATATGTGAAACTCCTTTCACACAGAAGACACTTCTCTCTCCCCTGAGAAGCCTCCACTGAGTGCTTAAGTGCAAAGCTCTTTCCACAGTGATGGTAAAAGACAGTCTTCTTCGATGTGAATTCTTACACGATTCTTTAGGTGTTTCCTGTCTGTGAAACTCCTTCCACACTGACGACATATAAAACCGTTCTCTCTTGAGTGAATCCTCATGTGCTGATTAAAGGCTACTTTAAATCTGAAACTCTTTCCACACCGACCGCATACAAAGGGCTTTTCTCCAGTGTGAATTCTTACGTGGGCATTAAGACTTGCTTTTTGAGTGAAGCTTATTCCACACTGTTTGCATTTGAAAGGCTTCTCTCCAGTGTGAATTCTCAAGTGGACTGTCAGGTTTCCTTTTCGATTGAAACTTTTTCCACACTGTTGGCAGGTGAATGGGTTTTCTCCGGTGTGAATCCTCATGTGGTTAATAAGGTGTCCTTTTTGACTGAACTTCTTTCCACACTGCTGGCAAGTAAACCGTTTCTCTCCAGTGTGAATTCTCATGTGGATTTTAAGGCTTGCTGATCGATTGAAACTCTCTCCACACTGTTTGCACGTGTAAGGCTTTTCTCCTGTGTGAACTCTCATGTGGACATTAAGACTTCCTTTACTAGTGTAACACTTTCCACACTGTTGGCAGGTGAAATGACTTCTAGTCTTCTGAGCTCGTTGTCGTGACAAAGTCTTTTCAGTCTGAGAGCAACTAAAAGATTTTCTCCAGTTATGAAAGCATGTTTGTTCCTTTTCTTTCAGTTCTTGCTTCTCCTCCTTTAGTGACTTTGGGTCTAAGGTGAAGAAAAGACAAATAAGCCCAGTTTAAAAGCACATGTAAAGCATCAAAACCAATGCTGGATCCTACATGCACTAAGCTGCTCTCAGAAACTCTTCTCAATATTGTTAACTTTTAGCTTTTCATTCAGAAATGAAGCCCATCATAGCACAGAGACGTAAAACTTGTCTGTTTCATTCATACTCAAAGCAGCCTCAAGCAGAAAATCCACTGTAACTGCATAAAAGAAGATAGAAACGTTTTGAATGAAGAAACATGAAGACAAACACTCGACTGAGACAATGTATGATTTATCTGTGTTCTTAAAACCACCTCGGCTATTTTAATAATAATTAAGTGCATTTATAATACATTGCTAATTGATAAAGCCTTTTTACAGTATAGAATATATTTTCAGCATAATTCCGTGACAAGAATCCACATCACATCACAAACTGAAGTTATTTTAAACATTCGACTTGTGGAGTATGTTATAATGTTCTCTTTTGTTGGACAACAGGTTTAGAAACGCTTCTCATTACAGAGGAAGATGTTTGATGTGCATTGCTTTTTCAAATGCTCTTTATTAGGGCTGCCCCCTAATAGTCGACTAATCGTTAGGCAACCAGAAGAGGTTTGGTCGACCAAAATTTTATTAGTCACAGAAAAAAATAATAATCCACAGGCGAAGTCACGCAGTCAATGACAGATAGATCATTAATGGCTGGTCTATGGCAGAGGTCCCCAACCACCGGGTCGCGACCCACTACCGGGCCGTTGAAGAATTGTTACCAGGTCACAAGAACGTTCTAGTAAAAATGTGTATAGATGTGACGCTCTTATTTATTGCGCGTTAATGATTGTTACAATTATTGTTTAGTGTTTATCGTTGTATGCGATTGATATGGAGTAGCAATTTGACGATTTCATGTTAAATTAGTAAATTAAAGATTGCTCTGATCTGTCATATATTAGGGGTTAAACGGAGCACAGTTGATCCGTGATACGTACAGATGAGACCCCACAGTTCGGAACTATTCTCTAGCCGCCGCGCCGCCATATTGGTAATCCCCACTATTCCCATACATTCCATTGAATTAATAGGAAAGCGTACAAATTTAATGAGAAAACATCACCTAACAAGTCAGCGTTTTTAAATCTGAAGTATCCCTGTACATTCTTACAATGGAAACACTCTAGGCATGTAAATGTAACGGAGGCCAGCGGTAGGTGCTGTGCAGGTAAACCTCACTCCCCTGATCTCAAGAGACGCACT